AATATGGACGTGGTGCATACGTGAGTGTAGGTGGTGGTCAGAGGGACCGTTGGCGGGGTATTTCGAAAGACTAAATAAACTGCTTTCTAGTGGTTCTTGGAAATTCGGGAAAATCGCAAAAACAACTCAAGAACTCGGGCCAAAACCCTCTTCCTGACTTCCTCACCTGATGTCACTGCTGTGGGGAGATGAATCAAAACCAGCTCAATTGTCTGTTTGTCTTTTATCTCAATTTATTGAACACATGTGAGCTCTTTGAAAGTTACTACACTTACAGGTTAACTGCCCATATTATACGAACAACAGACCTGAGACTACAACTTTTTCATTAATTACCCATGTAGTGTTAACTATCTAATGTATTATAATGATAATAATAATGATAAGTATTGCTGTTGTTATTGTTGTTATTATTATTATTATTATAAGTGAACCACGTGATTATGTAAAACAGTTGGGGTAGTTTTACGTAGTATACGTTTTTTAAACTTCATTCTACTCCTTTTGAGCACCAGGTCCCAAATATGTTCATGTACATATCTTTATTTTTGTTACTGTTTTTTAATTTTGTTGTACCTGGCTCAAACAAATAAATAAATGAAATGAAACGAAATGAAACGTAGGGGTGTGCAAAAATATCAAAATATCCATACATCCTATCATTTAATGTGATCATACAGTATTGATATTTTGGGCTGCTGTATCGATATATCGCCAAGAGTATTTTTTGGTATATTTTTAAAATTTTAAATTATTTTGTTACAGTGCTACAGTTTTTTTGCTTGTTTAGATGAAGGAAATTCCTCTATTTGACATATTCACTGTTTTGATGATTAAAATGAGCTTGTTTCATATAAACTTTGCACAAGACGTGGTTTAACAAACACTAGTGTCAGAGCCATGAGTTCGCCATATTTTTTATTGAACCATATCGATCTGAAATATATCGTATTGAATCAAAAATTAACTGTATCAAGATATGTATCGTATCGGCAACTTCTTAATGATACCCAGCCCTAGTTTAAAGTAAAGTGTTAACTATCTAAAGTAAAACAAATAATGTTTAGTTTGAAGAAGAATAACATCAAAATCACTGGTTACTGGTTAGCTCTTTTAAACACTGTTGATGAGTAGGCTGAATGATTTTACAACACAAATAAGTCAGAACCCTGACATCTCCAGGGATCTGAATCCCTGAGTTCCTGAGGTCTACTCAGCGCAGTATTAAATCAAATGTTTTGTGGTAGTAATGCATCAAACATTATTGCTTTTTCACCTCTACTGTTTGTAATGAGTTTGTTGTTTCACATGTGAATACAAAGTAATGACTCATAACATTGTCGAGTGTTCTTCAGAGTTCTTCCAGGCTCTGTGCTATGTGTGTACAGTCATGTGTGCTGTGTGCTGGCCTCCTGTGTGGGCCTCCGCTGAGCTCTGGGCACAATACACTCCCTGATTATTGACTGTAGCCTTATCTTATCAGGCCCAAGTCACTGCTCAAACAGGATGTCGTCTTCAGTGCATCCACGTCTACCGTAAGACACTCTCTCTATCTCTCTCTTCAGGAAGTGTTTGGAAACATTAGATCTTTTTGCTTGTTGTTGATGGATGTCTCTGACCTCCTTGGATCCCCTTCACACTGCTGTATTAAATATTACTCCTACCCAAGCCAAGAATAAGATCACATTGGCTGCAATTAAACTTGGCACTTATCCTGGTACAGCACTCTTGCCTCATAATAAGGTCCCCACTTCAATTCCATTTCCCCCACTGATTTATAACATAACGAATATCCTCCAGTTAAGATACTATACCTGCTTTTTACTCTCCTAATACCATGAAAAACAGAACAAATCTTAAACACTTTGAAGTGGTCCAAAGTTCTTCCTCCCTTATCTTATGCATTCAGAACATCCTAATTATTCACTGTGATGAGTTTATAAACATTTTACACAACTTTCAGAGACCAGTGTAAAGTTTTGGCATGTGTAAAAGCTAACTTGCTAACTTCTGATTATTGAACAATAAAATTATTATTATTTTTTTCACATTTTGACCTCAAGAGCGACAATATATCAAGGATGTAACAATATCGTGATATCTTATTGTCGAAGTTCTCACAATAATATCGTGGACCATCACAATATATTGAATTACAAGTCTGTTTGCTTAAATGAAGAGTTATGTTGCAGCAGTAGCTAAAAAAAGACAGAGGGAACTAGATAGCCCATGATCCTTTGCTCCATTTCAGTGCAGACTACAAGAAGAAATAACAGTTCTAACACTTTTAAGTCTTAGTTCTTTGGATTAAGTCTTGTCAAGACATTTTAAGAGGAAAAAATAGCATTTTCACAGTTTTGCCTACACAGCATATCACAATAAATATCGTACTGTGAGATGTACATTGTGAAAATATCGTACCGAGAGATTTGGATACTGTTACATTCCTAATCGTGAGCCTCCTCACCATATCATGAGCTTTCACGCGATATCGTGAGGTTTATACCGTGACGATATCTTATAGTGAGACTTGGATATCGTTACACCCCTACTAGTATATCTACACTGAGGCAAGACCAATAATGCTGAAATAGATACATCCTGGGTCATTTTGTTTAACCCCAGAGAGAGTGAGTGAAGGATGGGTCATGTTATGCAAGGGTCAAACGTCCCTGTGGGGACAACAAACAAGGACAGTGACTGCTGTCACCATGCAACATCTATTCCATTCTTTTTCCACCATTATATATATAAGAAGAATCTATACTGCCAAGAAGAATATACACATATACCCATTCTGATAAACACTGAGATCTGTCTAAAAAGGCACAATTTTCACTATGGGCACATTCTTATACAACACTTTCCCACTATGAAGGCTCTCAAAGCACTTCACATCAAGGAACCACTCAGCCGTTCACACACACACATTCACGCACTAGTGTACACAGACTTTAGGGGCAAGATGGTTTAAGTGTCTTGCCCAAGGACACAACAGCATTCATTGGTGGGAATCTGTGGAATCGCACCTCCAACCTGTGGGTCAGAGGATCTGACCGCTCAACCAGTAATGTTTATCTCAAGCGCAGGATTCGAACCACCAACCTTCTGACAAACGCTCTTGTACACTGAGCTCCTGTTGCCCTATTGACACTTGAATAGTCTGACAACAGTTCCAGACTTTACTAAGAGAGGCAACTCAACCCAAACAGGATAATTTCAGCAATGTTACACTGTTACTAAGGAAATGAATATGCTTTCAAAAAAATCTATTGTAATGTCTTGTTTTATTCATCAAGTGCTTTCCATTACCCATGTGGCTCGATGCCCTGGTACAGTAGCAGTGCAGTATTAAACCCCGGGCATTCTCAGCTGACTCATTTGATCAATGTGCACATAATAAAATGAACTGTTTGGTCTGGAGGATACGACTTGTTTTTGTCACCAGGAAACCACAGGGAGTGTCTCTGCTCTGATTGGTCAGCTGACAGTGGGCGTGTTGTTTTTGATGCATGCATAGATAGATGGCAGAGGTTATGGTAGGAGTTTACTTTCATATGAGAGAGAGATCTGTATTGGGTTTCATGAAACACAATCAGTACCATTTTCAGCATGATTCCAATTAGCAACAGAAGGTGAAATATCTGTCTCACACTAGCTCATTAAATCACTCAGGCTGTATACTGCTGTCAGTGGAAAGACTCTGAGGTCTTTTCAGTTTCAATATTTATCAGATTAAATATTTATTTCAAAAGAAGAATCTGTAGAACAATGACAGATGCATAAACGCAACTAGGAGTGGTCGTATCGTATCCCAATTATGATACACAATATTGTCGTGATTAGGGGTTTGCAAAAATATTGAAATGTTTAATGTGATGATACGGTATCAATATCGTGGGCTGCTGTATCGATATATCGACAAGAATATTTTTTGATATATTTTAATAAATTATTTTATTACAGAGCTACAGTTTTGTTGCTTGTTCAGAGGAAGGAAACTCTTTCATACAATATGTTTGACATATCCACTTTTTTGATGATTAAAATGTTTGTGTTTTATATGAACTTTGCACAAGAAGTGGTTTAACAAAGATTTTTTGTATCACAGCCATAATTTTACTTTTTTATTGAACTGCATCAAATCGATTTGAAATGTATCCTATTGAATCATATCGAATCGTATGTCTCGAGGTATGTAATGTATTGTGTCCTAAGTATCGAGGTATGTATCGTATCGGCAACTTCTGAATGATACCCAGCCCTAGTGGTGATCCATCAGAAATGTGATAAACATGCCTCATGTACTGAGGTTTCTGTATCGGGCAAATGTAAGAGTACACAAAAATGTGCAGACATTTCACTTTATCCTCTTTTTTTTTTTTTTTATCAGCTTTTTTAGCAGCAGTGTTTTTGTATATAAATGCATTGTCAGTCAAAAGTCTGGACCATACACTATACATAAATGGACACAGCTAACCGGCTAGCTGCCGAATTGCAAGTAACTGACCATGGCCATTCACCTCATAACTGCTGGCTTCATGTGACTGGAGCCAAAGGCTTTGGGTGATGTCACACTCCCTTAGTCCACTTCTTTATACAGTCTATAGTTTGGACAAATGTTGCTTCTTTATTTGTATTACTATTTTGATTATAGACTCTCACTGAAGACATATAAACATGGAATGAATGTTTGGAATGAAGCAAACAAAAAATAACTCAACTGTTGCTTTTGTAATATCTTGCATCATATATCTGATGTCTTCTGCATGTATCTAAAAGTTAGACAGTGGTAAACATCAAGAAAATATAGTGTGTGTCCAAACTTTTGACTGGTAGTTTACTAGACTCATTTTCAAAACAACATTTACTCTTACTGATAAATAAAATATTGGCCACATCTAATTAACTAAAGTGCATGTTATAGAGTATTCAGCAACACTATGTAAACTAACATACTTCATATTTCATAGCAGTAAAATGTGTGTTGTGTTTTGCAGGCTCTTGGGTGGAGTTGGAGATGCACAGAGGCGCGTCTGCCCCATCTGACCCGCCCTCCTCATCCGGGACCCCCCTGTTGCCCCTTTTGCCCCTGCCCCAGGTGGAGGAGGAGGAGGAGGCCATGGGAGGGGGCCTGGAGCACGTGCCCTCCTCTTCGTCCATCCACAATGGCGACATGGAGAAGATCCTGCTGGACGCTCAGCACGAGTCCAGCCGCAGCAACTCCTCTTGTGACAGGTACATGGAAACTATGAGTATATCTGAAGTCATGCAGTACTTTAGCCTTTTGTCAATGCCCAGTCTCATCTCAGAAACTAAGCAGGGCGGACATCGGTAGTGGGGGCGGGGTGAGATCTCACTGGGTTAAGTTGCTACAAGATCACATACACATGAGAAAAATTATATTTGGCTTGTCACAGAAAAGAGTTCAAAGCTGGTGAGTTATACAGTTTTAGAAGCTGTAGTCCCAAAAGCAGAGCTACAGTGGCCCCTAAAGTATTACATAAAATAAATGAAAATAATGAGGCTGGCATTGTGAACTCAATTTATTTATGTATTATAAATGATGTCAAAATCTCAGCTTGTCTCGTTCTCATGGACCCATTCATGTCTTGTGAAAAATGTATCTCATCCCAACCCTTCTGGTTAGTACATGGATAGAGAGCGCTGAGAATAGCAGGTGCTACAGTGGAGCAGCAGTGGTTTTAATGCACTGTTGTTGTGTCCTTACGCAAGACACTTCAACCACATTACTGAGTATAAATGTGAGTGTGAGTAATTGATCGGTGGTGGTCAGGAGGGTCACTGGGGTACATCGGCAGCCTCATTTCCATCAGTCTCTCCCAGAACTGCTGTGGCTATAAGAGTATATTACCACCACCAAGTGTAGAGTGAATGAATAATACAAAGAATAAAACGAAATTGTTGGCAACTTTGATATAAGACTAATGCATAACCACATTATTATTCTCACATAACTGGAAAGGGAAGGCAAAGTTTTAGTTGTATGTTTCAAATAGAATTGCTCAAAATCCCAATATAGAAAAAAAAAAACATGTTTAGGTTTTGCATCTGTGATTTATTATTTGGTGTTGATGTAATCCAAATAAATATGTTAGTGTTTCCATATTGGGCAGGTCTTAGTTTGACTCAGTGGATCATCATCTGTTGTTCTCCTAACATTCAGTGACACAGTGATATTATGCACACTACAGTGGGGAGGATTGTCTCACTGCAATAGGACGTGGGTGTGTTTGTGTCTATGACCTGGCTCCGGGTATGTCCAGTTGTTTTAATTGGTGTGAATGTCTGAGCCTTTATTATCTTCACAGACTGGACATTTCAGCAGCCCCTCCCTGTGTAATTATAGGTCTTCTCTGGCTCCCTCCCACAGTTAGGGCATCCAGGTTATCTTCCCGATCACTGTAATTTGCTGCAGTAAATGAGACTCTTTGTATTTGTTTTGTTGTGGCTTGTAGATCCCCATACAGAACCAGTGTGTGCATCTGAAACTAAAACATACCTCTCATTAATAACTTTTAGACTATATTTGTGTTAGGGATGGGCATTCGATGAAATTTTCTTAATCGATCGTCGGAAGAATTAACGATCGATAATCGATTAGTCATTAACGTTTTTATATTAAAATGATCATCATTATTATTGCTATCTGCACTACTAATCTGCATAAATACATTCAACTTTAAGACATATAAACCATAACCACTCTAGAGCCACATCAATCCGTTTGAAATTATAATGTGTTTAATTCAGTTTTGCGCAACTCTCACAAAAACGAAACTTAAAACCGCATCACTAATTTGCATAAACTCAGCCAAGATAAAACTACAGCTCTTGTGTCGCTGATGCGGTCAACTTCTGTCGGATTAAAAGACATGACTCAGGTGAATAGAGGTTAGTGTGACCAGATTTACGTTTGACAAAACCAGGACACCGTACGGGGGGAGGGAGGTGGGGACTCGTCATCGACATTGCGCGACTCTCACCTGGCAAAACTTTTTCCCACTGGACACCGAAACATATGTGCTGTTTTGTACACTGTGCATATGGACTCACACTTGTCCCGAACGCAACGGAAAATGTGGAATTTCTTGTACAAATCATCGTTAAATACGCATTTGTGCTTCGGTACGCTGCAGACTGACCGACTGTTTGTGTTTGCTCGCTCCTTCTGAGTGCAAAGAGCTACATGTACGGACCCCTGTTTGGTCACGCTACGCACAGCAACCTACATTCGGTTTGTCGATTAAAATTAACGTAATCGATGAAATTCTTGATCAATTATCGATTAATCGATTAATCATGCCCATCCCTAATTTGTGTAATAAATATTGGCATATTGATGGTCGCTCTGGATGTTCTGTCTAAGGTGGAATGTTCAGCAGTTGCCATGGTGACACAATGCACACATGAGCAGTAACTACCAAAAGAGTTTTAAGAGTGTCCAGAAAAATAGTACATGGAATTAAACAACAAGACCTTGTGATCAGTAGAAGTGCGTCGAATCCCTCAGTCGTCCAGGTAGAATCCATGGCAAAGGAGAAACTTAATTTGTTACTGGATAAATGTTTATTTTGGTCAAAAACTTCTTCACTTCTTCAGAACTGCTTGGATGAGCTGCGAAATGTTTTCGACCAAAATAAACGTTTGCCCAGTTGACTTAAATCAGTTGAATTTCTCCTTTGCCATCAATAGAAGTGTTTATGGTCCTGTTTATGTGTTAAAAAGGTGAGTGATACTAACTGAAAAACTGTTGGTTAATGCAGCTATTTTGAGCTGATTTGTGCTGTTCCTCTCAAATAATTTTACAGTCACACTTGTTGTAGTTCAGCTAAGTTGGTTCTTTCTCATCAGACTGTTGAAAACAAAGCTCAGACTAAAGTCTATCTTAAACAACTAAGCGTCAGACAAAGCAGTGTCTACAGTTTGCGTCACACCCACAGAGAATATTGATGACACCAAATGCAAAGTATCAATATGCACTCCAGAAATCTGATAATAATCTGGAACCACTATGGAACCTACCTGACCGAGGGAGTACCGTATTTTTTGGACAAAAATCGCTCCGGAGTATAAGGCGCACCAGCCAGAAGAAAAAAACATACGTAAGTTGCACTGGACTGTAAGTCGCACTTTTTGGGGAAATATATTTTATAAAATCAGAGACCAGGAACCAACATTTCATCTTGAAAGGCAAGTTATAACAATACAACAGAGAACAACAGGTTGAATAGGTGTTAATATGTTAACGTGACATATGAACAGTTCTTCAGATGATTATAGCATAAACAACGAGCATCAGTTCCAGTTAGAATTATTCCGGCCTTTCTGAATCCCGACAGGATGGTTACGGTTGTCATTGAAGTTCAGGCTTTGTCCATTCATCCAGTGACTTCCAGGAAAGTTACATGGTGCATCTTCCCTGTTGCCGTGAAACTGTGTTCTTCATCCTCGCTTTCCACCAGTCAATCACAAGTTTCTCACTCACTCCAAACTTTCTTTCTGTTGCTTGATTACCGCTTTCGGCTGCATACTTCACTACTTGCAGCAGGACAGCGGCTTTTTCTACAGGAGGCATGTGCAGTAGAATGCGACGTGACAGTGGTACAGGAGTAATAGATACTGACACACAAGCCTAGAGCCTCTCGGGGCTGTCAGTGTGAAACATTTAATATATAAATTGTACCGGAATATAAGTTGCAGGACCACCCAAACCATGAAAAAAAGCGTGACTTATAGTCCGAAAAATACGGTACACAGGTATAAAACCACATGGGAATAGAAAAGACTGTGATTTAATATTGAAAACCACATTCTACTGTGTGTTTTTTTTTGTTTTTTTTCTAACAGAATCACTATTGAGTATGAAGTCTATTCCTTAGTACCAAATCAAGTGTGACAACACAGTCATGACAACACTACTAATTATTGGGTTATCTGGCCAACGCATTTTTCTGTTAAAAAATTATATTCCTCACTATCATTTCTATATCGACAATATCGGTCATTAAATGCTAGCTGGGATAATATATTGTGGGACTGACATTGATTTTAGTCACGTATGCACTCCAGCTGTAGCACTGAGCCACATGGCAACATTGTAATGCAGTGTAATCTCTTTAGTGTCTTTCTGTGTGTGTGTGTGTGTGTGTGTGTGTGTGTGTGTGTGAGGGCTGTGGTTTATGGTTGGACACAAAACAAATGGTGTTTTAGCTTTGACCTGAGACACTGGGCTTATCTGTGAGAGAGCTGCTTTGCGCTGGAGTCATTAACATACCAAACATACATATGTTTAGCTCAGTGACTCTGATCGCTTTAGCACAGCACATGAAAGAGGAGAGCGAAAAGTCAGGAGTTCACAATCAGGATCAAAAGCATAAAAATGGAATGAGTATTTCTGTAGCGCAAAACAGCCAGTCCAAATTTCTTTCATGTGTTTTTGCTTGAAATTCTGAGAAGAAAGTCAAAGGGATGTGTTATTTTGTTAAAACGGTCTTGATTCTGAGGGTTTTACATTTGGTTGTTTCATAATGTTTGAAAACAGTGCACAAAATTGTGTCTTCAAGGAGGTCGATGTGTAGCCAGGCTGGCGCCACCTAGTGACTCCACTCAGTTTCTTTTCTCTGGCGACTAGATCAGGAATCCGAATACACTAGATGGTTCGCAAAAACCCCTGAAGTGCGACTTTGGGCACCAGCCAATCAGCAAAGAGCCATACATTCTGTGTTGGCAACGATTCACGAGATCGAGGATTTAAAGCCAGAACAAAGACAAAGTTTGGTGAATTTTATCAAGGGGAAAGACGTTATGGTCCTTCTTCCTATGGGATTTGGGAGAAGCTTAATATACCAGTTAGCCCCGTTAGCCCATGTAACTTGAATAACGATAATCATAATTTTCAGTGCTTTAAAAGTCATTTCAATAAATAGTAAATACTGTGGGACCTGAAAGACAGATTTTTTGTTGTAATGCTTTGTAATGATGTTCAATTATGGGCTATTTTTTTTCTCTTGTGAGGTGGATTACCAAAAAACTCCATCCATTTGCTCCTGATCCGGCTCGTCTGTCAAATTTTAGAACCCTTTGAGGCCCACAAGTCAAAAAGTTTGCCCACCCCCGGGCTATAAGATGTGGGCCGCAGGGCTCTATAGATCAATTTCATATTTTAATGTAATCATAAATGTCATTGCAGATAAAAGATTTACAAGCAAAACTTACTCAATTCAATACCATGATAATAATAAAAACAGTCATTATTTAGAAGATAGAATGGGATTTTCAACATTAAATCATAGTACTTTTCTTTTTGTTTTCTTTCTATTCCTATGTGGCCTTATATCTGTGTAATCCCTAGTCTATGTGCTCTTGTACTTGTTCTGATACTGCTCAACATCATTCTAAAGCTATTCAAGAAAGGCTCATTTCTGTCCTGTGAATGTGACTTTTTAATATCAATACCTGCTCAAATAAGTACCTAGTTTCAGTACTAGTTTTAGCATCGATTAGTGTCTGATTTATGACAGTTTTGACAAAATATGTGCAATAGCCAAGAACCTTTTTATACAGCAGGGTTTGGATTGACTTCTGAAACAACAATCTACAAACTATAAACTACTCTCTAAACTCTAAATTACACACTCTACAATGTTTGGTCAACTTTTATCCCTGGTTTGTGCAGCGTGCTCCACATCATGCGTTTGTGTCTTAACCTTTGGGCTATAGTGGGGGGGCGGGGCTTATCAGTCAGCTGCTCCTGAGTCACCCGAGGCTGTTTATTTCCATCTGAAAAACACTCCTTACAGTAAAGTCAAACTATGATTCTGTGTTATTGTGTCAGAGATTAGAAAGTTTCAGTTTGGCAGTATGAGGTCATATTTCTCAGCTGTTAATCCTCCTGGCCGTGTTTGAATGCACAACTGTATTAACATTTCAGAGTCGTTTAAGTTTAAGTCATTTAAGAGTCGATGCTTTTAATTCTCACTTAAAAACACACTTTTACTCACTGGCTTTTAACACGCTGTGAGAATTGTGTAGTCCTCTGACTGTCTTTTACTGATTTTATTTGCTATTTTTCTATTTGCAAATTTTAGTATTTTTTATGTTTTTTATGGACTTGCTTATTTATTTTATTTTATTTAATGTGTTAATTTGTATTGTGTCTACTCTGTGCAGCACTTCAGAGACTTTGCGTTGGTAAAAACTGATATACAAATAAAGTTGGATTGGATTGGAAATATAATGACCATGTCTGTAAAAATATTGCAAGTTTATCTTGTTTTTCAAAATGTACCAAAAAACCAAGTATTGAGTGAAAGAATAATGAACTGTAAAGCGCTTTGGGTATCTTGAAAGGCGCTATATAAATGTAATGATTAATTTTATTTAATCATTTAATTGCCCCCTGTGTCTGTGTACACTGGTGTATGAATGTGTGCGTGAATGGGTGAGTGGGTGGTTCTTTGATGTGAAGTGTTATTGAGTGCCCTGAAGATTTAAAAAAAAACTCTTCTGTACCGTTTACTTTTAGTCAAGGACTAATGAAAAACAACACATTTTTTGGTTAGGACATTTTTGTAGCATCTACTAAACAATTTAAAGAGTGGGTATTTTACTTCTATGGGGTATTACTTTTCAATATATAACATTTAGATCACTATGTTCCCTTTTATTGTTTTGAAAATGTTATATTCACTAAAAACTAAGTGTTCACATGTTTTATAAGTTTCACTGTAGTATTTGAAATAGACGTCTGTGCGGGACAGAATTTTCAGTCCTGTTCCCGCCCGTGGCCGCAAAGAATTGTAATTTTCATTCCCGCTCCTTCCCGCATCTGCGATATTTTGTCCCTCTCTCGCCCGCAAATCCTGCAAAATGGGAACTTTCGCTTTCTTAATCTCTATCAAACATGGAGAAGCGGAAGCAAAGAAATTGTCTACAATGTGTGCGAGATCAGACCACGTCCACAAATTTAGGCTGCTTAAAATGTTTTTTAATGCCAAATAAAATATCCAGCGCAAATTTCTATATTTTAATTTACACTCATGTTTAGTCTGTGGGACTGCAGTTTATCATCCCACCCTCCAGTTTATCATCCTGTACTGTGTAGTCCCGCTCCCGTCTGCGCCCGCGATGAGCTTTCAAAATATGTCCCGCACCACACTTTTTTTGCAGGACTGCAGGGCTCTAATTCGAAACTCTGAGTCTCCCTTATCTTTGCTCCCCATGTTAAGTCACTCCTTTCACTCCTTCCCCCTTCACGTTATAATCCCGTTATAATCTGTGTATGTTCTGCTAATGAAATTACTGCACATCGTATCAGGTTTGTGAAGTTGTGTGCCGTTTTTATCATGCGTTTTTATATTTATGGAGAATTGTCTTTCAGGGGGCTTGTGGGCGGGTTCGAATAGGGCCGGGAGAGATCACTAAATTACTCAGATGTGCATGGATGACATATAAAACCAATTCAGGCATGTTTTTGATGAGGGAACAGCATTATATCATGGTAGAAAGGTCCAAAAAAACTAATACCCCCTCTTTAAGAAAACATATTTACTTTTTTCTGTGGTAAATTCGGAATTCTGGGTCTAAAAGGGAGGAAGTTACACCCACAAGTATGACAAATATGCACTGTTAAATAACGCTCCACTGCTCCAAAAAAAAAAGGCCACAGCACATATCTGTCTCAAACCAAAACATGAGATATGAAAATTAAACAGAAACTACATTCCATCTGACACCGTGGGGAATGCAGGGTTACACATTTCAGTATGGACTAGACAAATTGACTTAGTGTAGTCGATAAGGCCCATTTGGTTCCTAAACTAAAGATTTCTGAATGATTTTAGTTGGTCAGCTGTTCACAGTCTATCTGTCAAAAGTCACTGCACAAGAATTTTTGCAATATGAATTCATCACATTTTTAATCTGGCTTGGAATGTTGTTTAATTAAAGGTTCTATATTACCGAGTTGACTTTTGTGAGCTTTAAACCATGTCATAATGTTGTTACATCATCAAAAACATACCTAGAGTTATGTTTTTTTCATTCACACGTTTGACTAACCCTTTATAATTAGCCTGTCTACATCTCCACAGCTCAACATGCTCTGTTCCACCTCGTGATGTCATGAAGAAGTAGTTTTCCAGTTAACAGATACTTTTTACCTTTTGTTTAGTAGAAGATTGGCAATTCCAGGACTGAAATAATCCAAATGATTCTTGTGGTGTATGGAGTTTGAAAACACAGTGGAGCGCTTCATGTATTCCCACATGATATCACAAGGTAGAACAGATTTGAGGGAAGAACTCAACCTAAATCTACTGGGTTTGTGTGTGAATGAAACAAAACACAACTCCAGGTCTGTTTGTGAAGAAACATTCCTAATATGGACACTTTAAACCTTAAAATTTTAAAAAGACTGGTTTAATATCTGTGCTGTCTTGATGATAAAACCTGTTATGAATGCAAATGGCTCCTTTATAATATAATACTGTAGACGACTAGTCACAATTATTACAATAAATTATAAATGATCAATTTCAGCATTTATGAATTGAATTGAAATTTTCAAGACCATGTTATCAATTTATGGATTTCAGCCTCCTGTTTTATGGGGCCTTTGAGAACATTTCATCATTCAACAGGTGTAATATATAGGGATTCGAAATATTGTGATATCGTATCGTCAGAAGTCTCACAATAATATCATGGACTGTCACAATATATCGAATCACAAGTTCCTTTGCTTAAATGCATGGTTTTATAGAAGCAACAGCTTATGAACATCGGGAACCACATATCCCATGATTCATTTCAGCACAGACAACATGAAAAAACATGTTTTTGACTTGAATTCTTGGGATTATGACGGAAATAATTCACACCAAAATCTTGTCAAGGTATTTTAAAAGCAAAAACAGCGTCCCATCTACAATTATATCAGCCTCTCTAAAATATCTCAGTAAATATTGTACCGTGAGATGCATATCATGAAAATATTGTACCGTGAGGCAACCGTCCTAACTTTTCATCATTCTGAAACCCATGGATAGGGAAATATGTCTTTTGCCTTACATCTCCTAATATCACATTGTAGAATCTGAAAACAACCAATGAGCAAAAGAATAAATTAAAAAATAAAAACACAATCAACAACAATAACAACTGTATTTTAAGTTGTTTTTTTTTTTGTTTTTTTTTTTATTTAAAAGTGCAATGTGTAACTTTTCTGATGGAGAGTCCGTCTAATGCTTTTCTCCACGGAATTGTTATTGCTTTGTCTGGAATGTTTCATAGTGTTGCATTAAACCTTTCTATCTTCTATCTGGAGACCAAACCAGACCAAGTTACAGGTCTGATCTGTGGAGAGGCGACCCTGCTCACACAGTCAGAATGCTTGTTTTTCTAGGTATTTTTGAGATTTAAAACCACTTGTAATTGAATAAATGTAAGGTAAAGCTGTTTAATGTCATACTCTGGAACATTCCAGGCAGAGCAATGATATATCCGTAGAAACAAGCAGTTGACGGACCCTCTACCAGAAAAGTTACACAGTGCATCCCTAAATAATCTTTCCTCAGAGCCCTCGTCGTTGAAAGTACACCTTGTTTCTTTTTGCTGGTTCACTGACAGAGCTGTAGTTGAAAACATGAATGTGTAACTGTGTGCGTTTGTGTCTCTTCAGCCCCCCACGGCCCCACAGCCCACAGGACGAGGGACAGATCATCTTCGACGTGGACGCCAGGAGAGACAGCCAAGTGAGTGCGCCCGTCGTCATGGCAACGGCTCAAACGTGTCACACACCAAAAGCACTGAAAAACCGCAAAAGACTTAGAGCAGCCCGGCGCATCATTTTCGACATAGCAACAACAAATAATACACAGGCAGTTATTTAACGGGCGCTATGTCATTTTTCTGGAGGAATGTACGCCATCTGGACACAACCTAGAATGTTCCACAGTATGAGTGTAAAAATTTTGATATACCGTATCATTTAATGTGATCATATAGATTCAATATCGTGGGCTGCTGTATCGATAAATCACCAACAGTATTTTTTGGTGTATTTTATTAAATTATTTTGATACAGAGATACAGTTTTGTTGCTTGTTCAGAGGAAGGAAGCTCGTTTATGCAACACATTTATGTTTTGATGATGAAAATGTTTGTGTTTCATATTCACTTTGCATAAGAAGCGGTTTAACAAAGACTTTTAGTATTAATTTAGCCTTTATTTTTTTATTGAACTGTATCGAATCGTTTTGAAATATTGTGATATGTATCGTATCGTGGCCTATGTATTGAAGTGTGCATCGTATCAACAACTTCTGAATGATACCCAGCCCTATTCTATAGTATGGCATCAAGGTTATCTATGGAGACAAAATAATGACGCCACTCATTCAGGTTACAAGTAAAGTCTGTGGAGAAGTGACCCCACTCACTGTAAGAATGCATCGAGCAGTCAGTAAATAAAAATAGCAGCAATTAAATCAATGCAAGAAATGTTAATGTTAAATGTTAATGACATACTGTGGAACACTCGAGGCTAAACAATAACCTCTCCACGGAAACGAGCAGGTGGAGGACTGTAAGGCTACATTCAGACTGCAGCCTGAAGTGACCCAAATCCGATTTTTTGGCCTCTATGTTCCTGTATCTGATCTTTTAATGACTGAACGACACAGATCTGATTTTTTCAAATGTGACCCAGGACACTTGGATATGTGCTCCTAAAACCGATACATATCTGATCTTTTGACATGTGACTTCAGTCTGAACGGCCAAACCGCATTCATCCACCTACACGTTATCAACAAGACACAAACGTCACTATTCTGCTCTGAAGTAGGTGAAAATTGTTAATGAACTCCGTGTCACTGAAGCGAAGCACATCACCACTCACCACTCTTGGCTACGTCTCCACATCCACACGTTCCTTTCAACGGACGTCGCTGCCGCTGTCCTACAAAACACCACGGCCAAAAACCTCGTCCTTCTCCTTCTCAATCTCCTCCTTAAAACAAGTAAGCTATATATGTTCTGGCTCTGGTACGAGACAAACTTTAAAATCGCCAGGTGCTCAATGCTCGCGTCCATGTTTGGACAACTTCCGTAAACACAGAGCACGCTCGCTGTGGTTGACGTCATCGTGTCCTACAGTGTGCATGCGGGACACTTTTGGGCCGTTTAATGTTCACACTGGAGTCACATACAAGTCGCATTTAATTGGAAATGTGAACAACCTCGCAAAAACATCGGATTTCACAAAAAAATCCAAATTGAGCGTTAAGCCCTGCAGTCTGAAAGTAGCCTAAAACAGAAAAGTTAGACTGTGCACCTTTAAAGGACCCGTGTTGTGCTATTTTCTGAGCTGTTATAAAGTTCTTTCCTCATCACAAACAGACCTGGTGTTGTGTTTTGTTTCATTCATACATGTAAATCCTGCACATTTAGGCTGAGTTCTTCTCTCAAACAGAAAACACTCTGTTCCACCTTGGGATGTCGTGGTGGTAATACAGAAAGTGCTCCACGGTGTTTTTAAACTCCATAGACGTTCACTAGAATCATTTGGATGATTTCAGCCCTGGAATTGCCGATCTCTACTGAACAAAAGGTAAAATGTAGCTGTTAACTTGAAAACTACCTCTTCATGACATCACAAGGTGGAACAGAGCATTTTGAGTTTTGAAGATGTAGACTCTAATAATAAAGGGTTACTTAAACATGTGTGAATGAAACAAAACTCCAGGTAACATGACTTAAAGCTCATGACACAATCAATTTCACAATCAATCACGTCAATTTTCCGTAACATAATGCAACTTTAAACTTGAAGCTACCCCCTTTTATATTACTTCTAATTCTTTACTTTTTCACACAGCTCTATACTTCATGATGTAATAATGCTGTAATAATAATAATGCTGTATCTCGTGTCCCCAGTCGGAAACGGACAGCCTGGAGAAGGAGCGGGACATGGACATCCTGATGAAGGACGCAGACTGGGTGGCTGACTGGTCCAGCCGACCCGAAAACATTCCCCCCAAGTACGTATGCCGTCACCATGCCAACTCCATAATGTCTATATGTGCAGCGGGTTACTATGGCAGCGCTGTTAGTTCTGGTACAGTGGTCTGGTCCGCTTTTAAGGTGGTCAGTGCTTAAAAGGTTATGCATTACTTATCCAATTCAGTCCTCTTTATTTTTTTAGCACATTTCATAAACATTTTCCAAAGTGCTGCACAAATACATAGTTGTAAAAGCACTAATAATATCATGACAGAATAAATGCTCAGATTTAATCATACTAGTCTTAAAATAATAAAACCAGTCAAATAAAATAAGAGCAAAACCATAGAATAGCAATAAATAAATAAAACCACTCAAATAAATTCAAAATAAGAGGAGCACACAACTCACGCAGCGTTAAAAGCCAGAGAGTAAAAGTGGGTCTTAAGACGAGACTTAAAACTCTCCACTGTGGGGGCTGTTGAGACGTGGAGGGGGCAGAGCGTTCCAGAGCTTAGGGCCGGTCACAGAGAAGGCCCTGTCCTGGTCTTGTCTTAGGCACCACGAGCTGGAGCTGGACCTTGGACCTCAGAGCGCTCGCAAAAATGTAAATTTGGATGAGGTCCGAGGTGTATTATGGGGCCAGTCCATTCAAAGCTTTAAAAACAAACAATCAAATCTTAAAATCAGTTCTACAATGAACAGGAAGCCAGTGCAAAGATTTAGGAATTGGGGTAATGTGCTCTTTTCCAGTTCCTGCGAAAAGTCGTGGCGCAGAGTTTTGGACTAACTATAGTTGGTTACCGTAAATTCCGGACTATAAGCCACTGCTTTTTTTCTCACACTTTGAACCTTGCGGCTAATGAGACGATGCGGCTAATATATGGACAGATCCTTTGTTTGGCACATTGTTCATTCATATATACGGTCTTAGGTTTGGCAACACAGAGGATACACACAGCCTGAGTGCAGAAAACACCCCTGTCTGTGCTACACTAGCTAGTAATGTCAGTGCACTCAAAGAGTTTTAAACATAAACATTAGTGAGGGGGATAAGTTTTACCGTATGTGTAAATGACGAGTAGAAATGTCAAACTTCAGTAGCCGGACATCCACTCATACCTGATTGATAGAACTAGAGAGAGAGTCTGAAATCTGCTGAAATCTATAAGACACTGACATGATACAGACAGGACAGAAGCTCTCGCAGGAGTCATGCGCCGTAGAGTTAAAATTTCTTTGATGTGGCTTATATTCAGGCGCGCTCAATAGTCTGGAAATTATGGTACTCTTAAAGGTACTTATCGTTAAAGAGTATGGATTTCGCTTAAATCCTCAGTCAGTACTAGAAAGGGGCGATAATCTGCCACTGCACTGAACAAGAAGGTCAATGCTGTGCCGGTCCATTGAGTTACTGTACTAGAGATGCACCGATCCAGCTTTTTCAGCTCCTATACTGATATCAATACTGTGACTTTAAATATCCGCAGATAACTGATACTAACCGATACTAGTGTAGGGACAGAAAATGTCACTTCTTTCCTTTAAAACACAGTTAACTTATTACACAAGAGATCCAATTCTGTTATGTAAGTGTTATTTATCCTTCAAAAAATTACTGAACAGCTTTGTATGAATAAGTTCAGACTTTCTAGGCCAAAATCAGCGTGTAAATAGACTTGAGGCCAAACCAGGATATTGACTCTATTCTAACTGCAAACAAAAACAAGAAAATCAAATTGCCTCTGGAAGGGACTAGTTTCGGAGTGAAGATAATTTAGAACTGTTCTGTCATTGCAACTAACTGTTCAAATAAAACAGTTAAATATTTCCATCCATCCATTTTCTTTCACTTTATTCAGGCCAAGTTGAGAGCGGTGAAAAGTACACAAATGGCATCAGCTGAAAACCAGAAATACAGGACTGCCATTCAAACCCTACAGCCTTTCTGACGACCACAAAACACACATTTACAGACTCATGTAGGAAATCAATGGGACCAGTGTCTTGCTCAAGAGCTGAAAGACTAGTACTGGAACCCCACATTATGCATTGATGCTGTCCCCTCGCATTAGAACAGCTGTAATCCTTGTGTGTGTTTTGCTGCAGGGAGTTCCACTTCCGTCACCCACGGCGCTCGGTCACTCTGAGCATGAGGAAAACTGGAGCCATGAAGAAAGGAGGCATCTTCTCCGCAGAGTTCCTCAAAGTGTTCATCCCCTCTCTGCTGCTATCGCACATCCTCGCCCTGGGCCTCGGGTACTGCACTACTGCACCACCTGACACACTACTGCACCACCTGACACACTACTGCACCACCTGACGCACTACAGCACCACCTGACACACTACTGCACTACTGCACCACCTGACACACTACTTCACCACCTGACGCACTACTGCACCACCTGACGCACTACAGCACCACCTGACGCACTACTGCACCACCTGACAGGTCACTGCACCACCTGACACATTAAGCTGACACACTACTTCACCACCTGACGCACTACTGCACCACCTGACGCACTACTGCACCACCTGACGCACTACTGCACCACCTGACGCACTACTGCACCACCTGACAGGTCACTGCACCACCTGACACATTAAGCTGACACACTACTGCACCACCTGACGCACTACTGCACCACCTGACACACTCACTTGACACACTACTGCACCACCTGAGGCACTACTGCATCACCTGACAGGCTACTGCATCACCTGACGCACTACTGCACCACCTGACGCACTACTGCACCACCTGACGCACTACTGCACCACCTGACAGGTCACTGCACCACCTGACACACTAACCTGACACACTACTGCACCACCTGACGCACTACAGCACCACCTGACGCACTACTGCACCACCTGACAGGTCACTGCACCACCTGACACATTAAGCTGACACACTACTGCACCACCTGACGCACTACTGCACCACCTGACACACTCACTTGACACACTACTGCACCACCTGAGGCACTACTGCATCACCTGACAGGCTACTGCATCACCTGACGCACTACTGCACCACCTGACACACTCACTTGACACACTACTGCACCACCTGAAGCACTACTGCATCACCTGACAGGCTACTGCATCACCTGACGCACTACTGCACCACCTGACAGGTCACTGCACCACCTGACACATTAAGCTGACACACTACTGCACCACCTGACGCACTACTGCACCACCTGACACACTCACTTGACACACTACTGCACCACCTGAGGCACTACTGCATCACCTGACACACTACTGCACCACCTGAAGCACTACTGCATCACCTGACAGGCTACTGCATCACCTGACGCACTACTGCACCACCTGACACACTCACCTGACACACAACTGCACCACCTGACACACTACAGCATCACCTGACGCACTACAGCATCACCTGACGCACTACTGCATCACCTGACGCACTACTGCATCACCTGACACACTACTGCAATACAACAAACTCATCCAGTGTTCAGTCTTTTCCATATGACAGGTTATAACAACATTCTTTCTGACATATTTAGGGTGATCGGATTTTCAAAATTTAATTCAAATTAAATTGGTTTGTGGTGGTTGGTATTAATACAATTTTGAAACGAGTGCGTAATTAAAGAAAATTGTTCTGCACTCGGCTCATTCATGATGAACATGTGAGTCAGTATAGTCACATTTTCTTTGTATTTTGGTCGTTTTTAAGCAGCTTTTCTATATTTTACTTAAACAAATGACAATGTATGCCTCTCTTTACTATTGGCAGGAATCAAAGGGGTCAAAAATAAGGACATATGGGACATTTCTTGTATCAAACTGGGCCAGATCACTGGTTTTGGATAAATCTGCTGGGACAGGGGACACAGGGACTGTCAAAACTGGGACTGTCCTGATCATGCTAGACATATTTTATTTTAGAAAAGTACCTAAAGATTTTAGTAGTTGAATAGTCATCCTTGATTTTTAACTACTTTACTGCCCTCTAGTGAATATTTATGGAAAAAGTTATTCTTTTTTTTTTTAGTTTAATTAAGTTAAAAACAAACTGATTGCTAATACGTGCATTGTGTCACCAAAACAATGAAATGCACATAAAAGTGAAAGGATTGAATGTCACTGCATTTGTTATAAAAGGCCTTTGTCAACTGGTCACAATTATTCAAATACATTGTCATAGTTTCAGCCCTGTTATATTTAGATAAATTGTTGACATCTATTGGCTATAATCCACACATTTTATTGGTGTGGTTGAACAAATATGGTAGGTTAATAGACCGTACGATCACAAGTGTTCTGGTTCGTCATTGGTAGATTAGCTACTTAATGGACCGTGTGACTGTGACAAGGACAACAGCACATTCTACTTCAGAAATCTGCTGTCTTAAAATGCATCCTTTTATGCTCCATTTGGTCATGATGAGTTTCAACACACACACAGTCAAAACTGTTCCACAGAATCTGTAGACACTGATGTAGTCCAGCAGGTGGAGCTGTTTCCCTGTGAGTCGTCCTCCAGCTGCTCTGTAAACAGCTGCAGACTAATGAGAGCTCTTGGGCCTGGTCCCTGGAGCTGTGTTTGTGAGAACACATGTTGGACTAATCCTCAGCTCTGATAATGTTACAACAAGTGTCAGCAGCACAGCACAGAGCAGGAATCTTATTAAAGTGTTAGTTACTCACACATAAAAGTTAAGGGTTGATGGATTCCATACTTGGACTGGCCAGCACACAAGGCTTTGTTGGCAGAGTTCTAGAGTTTTCTCATGTGTTTGTGTTGTAAATGCATGTCCCCAAGGTTGCATTCACACTTACAAAAACACCACATTAATACTGTGTTTAAACCAAACCTGGAACCAAGTCTGGACTAAACCAGCCAGAATTTAGAAAAGCATTTAACTGTGTTATTACATCCTCCCCATAAGGCAAATAAAAAGTTGTATTCCTGCATGTCTGAGTAATGTTTTATTCAAGGCTTGAGTGCTCAGGAAATGTCTGTTTTCACCTCCCCTCTATGTCCTCCCACTTCTCTGTACCTACTCACAATTTTTGAAAAGATTCAGACTGAGTAATACATGTTGGGTTAAAACATACCATTTAGCCAATGTCACAATTAATACAAATAAGCCAGTTCTGCCATTTTGAACATTACGTCAATGGACCTGTTTTAATGTTTGAAAGTTTTGAGCTTAATATTATGGTTTAAAATGAGCAAAATATAGAATAATAATCTACACGTTATAATTGGTCCATGTACCATTTGTTCTTTTGAGTTTCAGCTAAGAACCAAAAACAATAAAATTTTAGTGTCAAACAAAAAAAAAGATTTCGACCTCTATTTTCAATACTTAATTTCAAATTAATTTCAAATAACACCAATCAAAAAACAGTCTCAATTGAAATTCAAAAGAATGAATGGTACACGGAGCATAAATTAATAAAATAAATAAAAAATAAATGACTAAAATTGCGTCATGTGTCTCCTTTAATTCTCTCTACGTCTGTCTCCACAGGGTTTACATCGGAAAGAGGCTGACCACGCCCCCCACCAGCTCCTTCTGAACATGCCCGAGACAAGTGCCTGTGAAGTGGCCACAACGGAGTATCCGAGCGCGCCCCTCTGCCCCGCCTGCCCCTCTCTCCCCCCTCCTCCTCCTCCTCCTCCTCCTCCCCTCGCTCTTCCTCCCTCCTCTTCGTCCCTGAGATATGTCATGTTCTCAGGTCTGCCCCCCCCCTTCCCCTTTAACCCTCCTTTTTGTGCCCTCTACCCTTACATTTGACCCTTTTTCTTGACTGGCTGTTTGACTGTCTGTAGATAAGCCCCTCCCTCCTTCCTCGTCACTCATTTGTAAATCTAGGAATGACTTAGGTTTTGTTGTTTTTTTTCTTCGGGAGGGGGTGGTTAAAACGTTTTTGAGCGGGTGGGTTTTCAAAGGAAGCGTCGATAAACCAAAGTCTTTGCCCTTTCGGATGTGAAAAACAAAAGGGGGGGAGACTGTCCAGCTTGACCACAGATTGTGCCACCGACATCAGTAGCCCCACACTTCGTAAAAAAATCGTACAAAAATGGTCGTAAAAATTCAACGCCGCGGGCTACTCGAACTGATCATGCCTTTTTTTGTAGACGTTTTTTCTGTAGAGTATATCAACTTTTCTTATTTATTTTTCGCGACGGGAAAAAACGCTGTAATCAGTTACCGTAGTGGCCATCCCGAAACCGCAAGTGTTCGCGATTTGCACTGGGGGAGATACGTAAGATTAGCGTGAAGTGGTGCGAGTTTGGAAGCCAGCGTTGACATTAACAGTATTTTTTTGTTTTGTTTTTTCATTTTGGGTCCCTGTAATTGTAGCTTCTCCCCCTTTTTTTTTTTTTTTTTTTTAAATCTGTCCCACTCCGACGTTTATGCTTTGCTTCAAATGTCCAAAAACATATCGTTAGCTAGCGTGACCCTTTGTGCTAACTTTTACACTTACCCAATTTTTATTTTAATTTTTTTTAAATTTAATTTTATTGGCCAGGTGTGGTGTAAAGAAAGGAATTTATATACCAAATTGAGATTGCTTGGGTTTGCTCTTTAAACAACTTCAAATGACAACGAATAGAGTAGTTTAGCTAATAGTGTTAGCATTAGCATTTTTCTTAGTTTTGGCTAAAAGCATTTATTTAAAAAAAGAAGATAAAAAGTAAAAAAAAAAAATCTTATTGGCATACAACTATCAATCATACACTAAGTTAGCCAAAAAAAAAGAAAAAAAAAAAAAGAAAATTTAATATGTTATGGCAACCTCAAGGGGGCGATAGATGGTTGCCAATTTTCAAATATCGTATGGGTTAAGCAATTTTTTTTCCAATTTTTTAAAAGTGGAATTAATCATTGATGGAAATATAATTTAGAAATATTGATTTGTTTTTTTAATCCCATTTTTTGCCGACACTCCAAGAATCTTTTGCCAAAACTTGCAGATAAAGCGCGTGTACGTCATTCTTGTATCGTCTTCGTCGTGAGGCTGGACCCGTCGGAAAAAAAGACCGTAGATCATAGTGAACGTAGCTCTCCTCGCTTATTATTGTGTTGTTGACTGCATGACATTTCTGTAGCAAATTTATCCTGTGAAAATGCACGGAGAGCTGGCGTTTACGAGATCTGGGGAGGCACACGAACGGCACCGAGCTGTATATTCTTAAAATGGTATAAGACTGATATGTTTTAAGGCAAAGTATGATAACAGGTGCTACCAAGTATGGACCTCAGTTGTTTCATAGGACAATATGGCAAGACAATATGGAGGAATTTGCATACAATAGGCTACTGGTACTACTGACAGTGAACTTAGCACAAATGTATTTTAAATGGGTCAAATGAATCAGTTTAAGATCACATATTATGCGCTCTTGTGGCTTTAATTCCCTTTTCAACATGCTTTTGGTATTTCACATTTTCTGACTTAAAGGGCCCATCTCATGCAAACTCAACTTTTCAGAGCTTTCTACCTTCTAAGAGTGATGTGTGGGCCTTGTATATGTTGGTGAAGTGTTTTTCAGATTGATTCAGCTTTTTTTTTTAAACAAATTCCAGCGTATTTCTGCCACCCTCCCACGTGACAACGAACTAAAGCTGCTACAACGATGATGCGGCAGCTACACCTATGGCGCATTTGACGTAGCAGAAAGCACTTCGCACCCGCCACCCTCCCCCACTCCACCGCCTCCGCCCCGCCTCCAACCCGCATCGGCTGACAATTGCGACAGCATATTGTTCTACACTGCAGTGTACACGGTATAATAAGTTGATTTACTAGTGTTTATTAATACTTTACCAATCAGTAATGTTCAGCTGATGTTGACGCAGTGCTTGAGCTTCGTGCTCCTCAAAGTCCTCGTCTGATTCCAAGTCCAACACATGCGGCTGAACGCGCTGTATCACCATGATGAATAAAAGTTTATTCCTACCTCTATCAGGGTGCACGTCTGTCTCCCCCTCCCTCCCTGAGATGGGCGGAGGAAGGGCGGCTCACTCAAAGCCTACGTCACGTTTGGAGGGCGGAGCCTGTGCTTTCTCAGGACGGGTGGGGGGATGAGCAATAGTCGGACTTTCATAGTTCCTGGTCTGTGACTGTCTCCAAGAAATCAGTAAGATTTCATAACTATTGTGTAATGGATGTTCCAAAACCCAAATTGTGCTTGTTTATGTGCAGAAGATACAATGTGAAAAGCGTTATTTTGCATGAGATGGGCCCTTTAAAACAATGTCATGTAATGTCAGTCCTTTTATAAAATATACTTGAGGCGCTTAGGCGTTGGAGCTCCCTCTGCTGTCCGCATCAGAAATGAACAATGAAAAATAAATGAAGCCCACAGGAAATGTGAATGCTAAAAGAGCCACGTGTTCGTCGTCGGAAACGTCTGAAACGCAGAATCAGTCCGTTTTGATGGTATACGGGTTGAAAAATTGCGCAGGAAAAGTTCAGATTTTTACCCGCGACGCAACAATTCAGGCAAAATGCGAACAGAGCATTTTCGAATACTCAGAGATGACGACATTTAATTAATGGATTCATGAAACAAGCGTGAATGTAGCAAATACAACTCAAGGTGTGTTTTTGATAAGGGGACAATATTATAATAAGGTTTAAAGCTAAAAACAAAGTGATTTTTTACATAATACGTGTTCTTTAAGTTACTGTTGCTTATACTCTAGCTTGAAAACTGAATGTCTTCTTCCACGGGTCCAGCCTCACAGATGCCGTCACTGACCGACTATAGCTTTGTTTTGCTCTTGTCTACTTTGTTTTTGTTTTTCTTGGGTTAAATTGCACACGTTGAGAGAAATAATAATGTTTTTGTTGATGAAGAAAGGTTGGAGAGGATGTATATGTGAGCAGACGGGTTCCCCTCAGAATGCGATGATAAGACTGCATCTAGAGATATTGTACGAAAAAAAAAAACTTTTGCTTTGAGTTTTTTTGCCCACTACATTGGAGAATCATTTTGTCATTAAAGTTGACCTGAATGAAGCTATGACAAGTGTGGAGTTTTTGTTTTTGTTTTGTTATTTATATGATAACTGCTTGAAATTCCTGCAGGCTGAAGCCACATTCTTATCAAACAGTGAAAATGCTGTTTCACCAGTCAGTGCTGGAAGTTCCCACACTGTAGCATTAATGCATATTTATCTAGCTGTTATTTAATGTTTTTACAGTGTCTGCGTACACTGGTGTGTGAATGTGTGTGTGAATGGGTGAATGGTTCCTTGTTGTAAAGCGCTTTGAGAGCCTTGAAGGTGGAAAAGCGCTATAGAAAAATGTGACCATTTACCATTTATGCCTCTAAAGTATCTTAACAAAACAGGCATTCTTAGTTTGAGTGGGATTGCTTCTCTACATACAGTATGCAACCTGTAATTTAGACTGAATGCACCACCAGCTTAGCCACCTAGTGACTCTGCTCAATTTAATTTCTCTCCAGCGACTAGGTCAGGAATCAAAATACACGAGATGGTTCGCAAAAACCCCGGAAGTGCAAGTTTGGGCACCAGCCAATTGGCAAAGAGCCATACGTTCGGTGAGATGGAAGATTTAAAGCCGTAATAAAGAGAATGTTTGGTGAATTTTATCAAGGGGAAAGACGTTATTTCCCTTCTTCCTACAGGATTTGGGAAAAGCTTAATATACCAGTTAGCCCCGTTAGCGGCACATTACATACGTCATGACCAAATAGCAGCAATTGGTTAAATGAAAATAGGATCTTCAGAGAAGCAACAGCCATACTCTTCACCGGAAAAGTTCCAGTTGCACCTTTAACAATAACGTTACTGCAATAATCAATGTCACAGTGGTTGTGTTTGCACGCACACCAAAATCTGATTATGATCGGACTTCAAATCTGATGTGAGTCATGAGAGGGACCATGATCTGAGAGAAATCAAATTATTGTCATTGTAATGTCCAAAAATCCCATAGTAATCCAATTTAGGTGTGCTGGTAACTGCAGCCACTGATACTCTATTATTTATCACTGTTTGGAAACAGGGATGCACTAGGTTTTTCAGTTGTAATATTTATTTTACAGCATTTATTTCCTTTTAAACAATGTAGCTGTATTTATCCCTCAGGTAACTACAGGTTTGTTTCAACTACGGCAACCAGATTTTCAAAACTGGGACACACCTGCTTTGGGATATTTGGTATAAATACAATTGTGAAAATAATGAATTTAAACTTAATTTAGTCTTGGTTTAGATCAAATTAGTCAAAAATAGGGACACTTGGGACATTACTTGTATAAAACTGGGACAAATCAGTGGTTTTGGATAAATCTGCTGGGACAGGGGACAAAGGACTCAAACCTGTAATTTAATTGAATTTGAATGTATTTGTTTGAAGGATAAGCGAGATCTCTCGTTACATCATTTTCAAGGGGGCCCTCATAGTCACAACAACAAAATACAGATACAGTAGGGCAGACAGTAGGATACATACATTCAAATAAACAGCAAAACAACTAAATCAACACAACCACACACACACACACACACACACTTGACTGTTTGACACATAATAAATCAAATTTGAATAAAAAACTAAGACGGAGTTCAAATATACAAAATGAACAACAAAATTTAACAAAATGATCCAAAACAAGTACAGAAATAACCCATGAAGAACCAGAGCATTTTTAAATGAAGGGACAGAAGTTAATGCACAAATCGATGAGGGAAGATGGTTCCAGTCAGAAGGAGCTTTATATTTAAATGAGTGTTTTCCGATTTGTTTTTTGACTCTTGGAAAAACAAAAAATCTCTGATCTGCGTGACTGTAAGAGGATCTGAATAGAATTAAACACTGTTTGAGATATTCAGAATAACTGAGATGAATACATTTAAAGATAAATAATAACCAGGGATGTTGACGCTGGGAGGACAGAGTAAGCCAGGACAGTTGGTGATACATGGTACAGTGGTGAGTTTCGGGACAGTCCCGAGAAAACTGAGATGTCTGGTCACCCTAGTTTTAAACATTATGAGACTTTCTGAGCCAACTACAACCAGTAAATAGTCTTATTATTACATCCATGTATCTGTCCAAACAGGATATCAGTTGAACCGTTACTTGGAAATCTATATCCGGCAATCAATAGCAATATTTTCAGTATTTCCGCCACTATCCAGTACCAATATCTGATTGGTGCATCCCTATTTGCAAATAAACCGATCCTTACTTTGTTAAAACAGCATGGGATACTTATGTTAATAGACAAAACGGTGAATAATTCAACAGTAAACAAGTTTCATTTCCCCAAATAAACACCAAAACTGTAGATCTGCGACAACTCAAAAATTCCAAGTTCTTCATAGCAATAGATCAAATACTTTTACCAGTAGAGGGCGCACGTTCTAATCCAGTTGTATTCAGTGCCCTTAAATCATAGCTCACTTTTTCCATATCTATACACAGAATAACATCCAAGTCTACCAGTGTTTTAATGAAAGTCTAATGTAAAAACTTTAAGACAATCTAAGTACTTCTGTGTTCCAGCTGCCAAATATGGCCTGCAGAATGTGTGTGCGTCTTATGTGAAAGCAGTGTCCTTCTGTCCTCCTGTCCCCTGCAGCTGTCCCTCTCGTCCACAGCCCTGTCCGGAGGCGCTGCGTAAATCTTCCCAGAATTCCATCTCACATTCCCTGGACCGGCGTCAACACTGTCATAAGTCTGTCATAACACTGCTCCTCATGCAACAGGGACCGAGGGAGGAGGACGAGACTGAGACGTGCCCAACATCAAAGCTACAAGTGTGATTCTTTATGGAAGTTTGTTTTAAGACAGTAAGTGATCTCCAAGATAAACAGTGGGTACATTACCAGTAAAAAACAGATGACTAGAATAATCACATCCCAATAGCGAAATGAAACAAAGTAAAAATAGTAAGGTACTGTACTTAACTATCCATTTTAGGTATATGTACTTTACTTCTAGGGCCCACATTACGTTTGTTTCCTCATCACAAACATATCTGGACTTGTGTTTTGTTTCATTCACACATGTTTAACACACAAACCCTGTATATTTAGGCTGAGTTCTTCTCTTAAAGGTTAAAAGTTGTGTGCAATGCATACTGGGAAGGGTCCTCCGAAAAAGTCAGCTTCAAACCGCCATGTTTGATTTCCCAGTGGGATGCGTTTATTGTCAAAGCCGATTTTTTCTATTCTTTTGAGGTATGTCGCTTTTGTTTCTGGTTCTGATATTGTCATATTTTGGTTATGGGATTTGGACATTGTAAGTGTGTGGTTGTTGGATGTCCTGACAGCGGAAAACGGACTTTAGAAGTTTGTGAACTCTGTAAATGTAAAAGGGAATCAGATGTGTGTGACTGCAAACCTCCATTCAAACTGTTTCCCTTCCCAACGGAACTGAAAAATAGTGAGGAGATGGCGAAGGGCAGTATTGATCCACAGGAAGGACCAAATAGTTAACCTTTGGCTGCCTAAGAAATGATCCCGAGTTTGCAGCGAACATTTTGTATGTGGAGCGCCATCAAAGCAAAAATCCCGTTTGTTAAGCGAGAGGTACAGAAGATAAGCAGGCTTGTTCGACAGCAACATCACGTCTTGGTCGCTTTGCAGTGGAAGTTGTTTCTTGGTGAACAGCTGGTGTCTTTCGCTTTGGTGTTGACTTTTTAATTTCATAACCAAGGTTGAGTGAGGGATCGGGATTTTGCTTTGATGGCGCTCCACATACAAAGTGTTTGCTGCAAACTCAGGATTTTTTTTTAGGCAGCCAAAGGTTTCTTTTATCGTCCTTCCTGTGGATCAATCCTGCCCATCGCCTTCACCTTTCACTATTTTTCAATTCTGTTGGGAAGGAAAACAGTTTGAACAGAGGTTTGCAGTCACACACATCTGATTCCCTTTTGAATTTATGGAGTTTGCAAACTTCTGAAGCCCATTTCTCGAACCGTTTTCCGCTGTTAGGACATCCAACCACCGCACAATTACGATGTCCGAATCCCAAAACTAAAATATGACAATATCAGAACCAGAAACAAAAGCGATATGGTTCAAAAGATTTGAAAAGATCAGATTCAACAATTGACGCATCCCACTGGGAAATCAAACATGGCTGTTTGATGCTCACTTTTTCGGAGGGCCTTTCCCAGTATGCATTTGTGATGAGCAGAAGTCCAAAATTCGGGATGCATGTATTTGAAAACTACTGCTTCATTACATCAAAAGGTGGAACAGAGCATTTTGAGCTTTGGAGAAGTAGACAGGCAGAATTATGTAGAGTTACTGAAACGTGTGAATGAAACTAAACACAACTCCATGTGTGTTTATGATGAAGTAACAACATTATAACATGATTAAAAGCTCATATTAGTCAATTTTGCATAATATAGGACCTTAAAGTACATTTTACACTGGATAGGATACTTTTTACCTTTACATCACTGCATTTGAGTGCAAGTCTGTACTTTCTACTCTACAAATTTTTTATTATTGTTTGAGACCTGCTGAAAAGGGTTTATTTTTACCACATTCAAAGTCAAACAAAAATATCAAAATAAAAACAGCTAGTAGGAAATAGTAATTCAGTAATTTCCTGCTGACATGTGTCATTAGTCAGTGGATTTTAGAGGAACTGCTTTGGAAGCCAAACTACAATGAGATCTAAAAAAAACCCTCTTTCACTCTTGAATCATCTGGAGTGACATCTCGTCTTACTTACAGGTGGATGCTTGTCTGCTGAAACGAAGGCTGGCGGTTCGAATCTCACTCTCGACAGAAACGTCATTGGGTAAGTGGTCAGGTTTACTGGCCCACAGGTTAGCAGTGTGATTCTAGCTTCCACAGACTTGTAATTGGGCAAGACACTTAACCCACCTTATCCCCAGTGTGTGTGTACACTGGTGTATGAATGTGTGTGTAGTGTGAATGGGTGAGTGGTTCCTTGTTGTAAAGAGTTTTGAGTGGCTAGAAGGTAGAAAAGTGCTGTATAAAATGTGACAATGACCAATTATA